GAATGTGGAAGAGGGAGATGTTAGCTAGTTAAAGTCTAGTTAAAATAATCCAAAAAGTCAATGGATTCTCAACAAAATAATTTATCTAGGGGGACTGCTTTGTGGTGCAGCACGTTAAGCCACCACTGAAGATCTTGGGACACCTGTGTCCCATATCAAAGTGCTGCTTCCAGCAGCTGCTCAGCTTCTGATCCAGCTTCCTGCTAATGAGTCTGGGAAGGTGATGATGATGGCCCATGTACTTGGGTCCCTGTCACTCATGCAGGAGACCAGGATAGAGTTCTGGGCTTCCGCATTGATCTGGCCCAGCTTCAGATGCTGCAGTTATTTGAGAGTGAACCAGCAGATAGAAGACTCTGTCTCTCTCTTCTCTACCATGTGCCACTCCACTTTTCAGAAAAGTAATCAATTAATTAATTGTGTCTAAGCAGGTCTTTTAAGGTATAAATTGTTCCATTTCTTAAAATATATCTATTGATAGTACATCCTTACATATTTCTTTCACACTTTAATGTGTGAATTTGGAAACTCAAATTCTATGACTTACCATTACAATATATGCTTGTTTGTCAGAAGGATTATGCATGTTGTAGTATTTTGAATATGGGTTAATGTATGGTTTGTGTGGGAGAGTTAGTGTATAAACTTATTGTTGCTCAAATGTGGGAAGTCCAATCAAAGTTCATGTTCAAGGTCCCAAGGCCTTGGGAACACTAATTATATCATCTCCAGCATAAAAAAGCAAAAAAAAGTTAAAAATCCTTGAACTGGGAATTCGCACTCGCAAAATTATACGACAAAAAATCAAATCATTTCATTTTTTTCATGCCAGTAATAAGAGAAACCAGTTAAGCAATGATTAACAAAAGTAATAAAATTTATGAGGTGTTTATTTTAAAAACAGACACACATTCTTTCTAAATCTAGAATTGTACCTTTGTTCTATGTAGTTTATATCCATATTCCTAAAAATCCCATTATATATTTCAAGAAGGCATAATACCCATTTAAATAGAAACATCAAATTACTTAATAATGTTCAACTGGATTAATAAAGCAGAATAGGATAATTTCAGACATATGATTGTCTGTTTAGAGCCAGCTGTTGCAAATTAGTAAATTAAGTGATTTAGGCACTCTTTTCTGCACAAGTTGCATGATTTAGTAAATTCTCAGATGCCTCCACATGTGCCAACACTGCTAGATTGTCTCCAGTCCAGCTGCTGCTACGATTGTAGCTACCAACTTTCAAACAGTGGAGAAGAATAATGAATTAGCTACAAGTTGGCTCCTCTGTAAACTTCTATTGCTCCCAGCTAAAACACAGGCCATTTTCAACTGTAAAGCAAGTTAGAGAGATTTCACCTCTACTGTTTGTGAAACATGGCTCCACAAATGCCACTGACTTAGTGGCTTCCAAGCCTGCAGCTTTAGGTAAACTCCCTGTAGTTTAGATTTCAGTCTTAAGTGCTGTAGGTTGTTTAAAAGATTGGATTGGTTTGAAGAAACAGATTACGAAATGCCCCCTCCATAATCTGTAACGTGAATATTTGAGATGTCTCACACTATTGGAGAAAAAAAAAATAGTAAGTCTTTGATTTGTTAACAACTCATTAAAAAAAAAAGGATTCAAAAACAGGATATGCAAACGAAAAGGGTCATAATTCTAAAAGGACTTAAAAAGCAAATAAAGGAAAAAAGCGCACATGTCATTATGAGTCACGATTCATTTATGAATGGTACACACCAGGGCAGGGTAATAGCATCAGGCCTTCTACAAGTGGATATTTTGTATTGAACTTTAATAAATTCTGGACCAAACAACTTTGTATTGGATCAGTTATGTAGATTAGTAGTTCTGTAGAAAGCCGTGCAACTTTGGTGTTTCCAAAATAAGCACTGGCCTATTCAGCACAAAGCGATGCTAGTCTTTACACAGAAAATAAGCAAGATAAAGAGCAGAAGTCTGGCTGGCGCTGTGGTGCAGTGGGTTAAAGCCCTGGCCTGAAGCCCATCCCATATGGGCGCCGGTTCTAATCCCGGCTGCTCCTCTTCCGATCCAGCTCTCTGCTATGGCCTGGGATAGCATAGAAGATGGCCCAAGTCCTTAGGCTCCTGCACCCACATGGGAGACCCAGAAGAAGCTCCTGGCTCCTGGCTTCAGATTGGCGCAGCTCTGGTCCTTGCAGCCATCTGTGGAGTGAATCAGTGGGATAGCATAGAAGATGGCCCAAGTCCTTAGGCTCCTGCACCCACATGGGAGACCCAGAAGAAGCTCCTGGCTCCTGGCTTCAGATTGGCGCAGCTCTGGCCCTTGCAGCCATCTGTGGAGTGAATCAGTGGATGGAATACCTCTCTCTCTCTCTGTCTCTACCTTTCTAATTCTGTCTTTCAAATAAAATAAATTTAAAAAAAAATTCATTTGTTTCTAAATCTCTATAGCAGTTAGGAATTATTCCTTGGGTGGATGGACTTTCTCCTGAGAATAGGAAAATTCTTTTTTTTTTTTTTTTTCACCAAAGAGCAAAGCTGGATTATACTATCCTTAGGTAACTAAGGCTGTACTACTCTCCATCAGCAACAAGTTGGACTAGAGAAATAGAGAACTTCATGGATTGCTCACTTCATGTGCAGTGATAATCTAATTATTTAAAATAAAAAACAGCAACAAAAAACAGAGAAATTTACTGTTAACTGCTATATGTAGCAAGTAGCTCATACTGCCTGTGTGCTACACTTTTCCAAGATGTCTCTGTTATAATCTAAATGTGAAATTACACACCACACTTGCTTCTGTCCTTGCTGCATATACAGAACGCAGAGTTGATTTAAAAATCTCCTGGAGATGCTAAATACCCAGACTCATACTCTACAATTCCAGGGACTCACAGCACTTGAAACTGAGATTCAGGATAGATGGGTGTGGGCTTGGGTGTCTTCCACCATGTCCCCAACATCTGCTTCCAGGGATCTGTGGTATCTGTAGCAGTGAAGATACGAGAGATCTCTGGGTACAGTACTTGGTTCTAGGCTCCTCCAGCTATTCTGATACCGCTAAGAAAGCTACACAGTTGCCTCCAAGTAACTCACAATCCAAAGGAAAGAACCTGGGTTTGGCCCATGAATAAAGACAAGACACTATTTCCTAATACCTGGATGTGATCATCTTTTGACCTTTAGTAGCTCACAAAGGATGTTGAAACTCCTCAAGAGGCAGCGGACTTAACAGGTTCATCTTCAGAGAAACATAAAAGGCTGGAACTTATTGCGAAACTACTGGCCAGTTAGGTAGCCACAGTAACTCTCCAAACAACTGAGTCAGCAGTCACCCAAATGCAGTAAACCAGAGGTGTTGATTCTCATTAAAATTTATTTGATCACATCAATGCAACAAATAATTTGGAAAGTGTTCCGGTCTATTCTGCACAACAGGATGCATGTCCACACTTGGGAAAATGTTGCGTAACATGTACGAAGAGTGCACATTATTTGCTGCTGCTTCAATAAGCAGGAGGCAAGATGTTTCACAGGTGCAACAACTTCTTTGCAATTTTGAAAATAGTCCATTCACTAGTGCCAGCATGTCCAGAAAGAGTCTCTTACATGATACCAGTTTACTAGAATAAACTAGAATACATGCAAGGGAGTGAAATAGGCCAACAACAGACATTGAACATAGAAATCTTTATTCTTTAGCCTTGCCCTATGCTCAAGATCCCAAAGACTTTAGGATGGTAAAGATCGCTTATTCTATTTTCTACTTTGAAGATTCTATATACTTAATGATAATAATTATGAAATCTTGGAATAAATATACCTTCTACTCAGTGATTTGAATATTCAAACAATTAGCTGTATTTGTTTGAATGTACACTGTCTTTATTCCTAGTGGTTAGAATAATCAAGGAATGCCTAGAGGTGAAAAAAAAAAAAAAGAATCAGAAAAACATACGAAAGGAAGACAGGGAAGGAGAGAAAAAGTAAACAGATGAAGAAAAAGATTTTAAGACAAATGTATGCAGTCGGGATAAATGACTAATTAAAGGTAGAAAAACTGCTTGCAATTTGTCTAAAGTAATGATAACTGTGTAGTACTTTGCCGTGGTACAAAGGTGGATAATTATCAAAAAGAACATGGAAACAACAAAGATGTGTCTTAATTAAAAGAAATAAAAGAGGGGAAAATGATGGCAAGTGGGAAGATCCACACCACAAATATGCCAAGATAAATGATCTAGCCTGTCCCCCTCTTGGGAAAGTTGTGTGTGACCTTGGCCGGCACTTCTATTTCCTGTCTTGTGTAATCACAGAAGGCGTTCAGTGTTTGGTGATGATGAGGAGGAGGATTTTGAAGAACATAATTAAGGGCTGCAAGTGTTTTCTGTGGAAACAAAATTATCATTCATGTCTGAGACTGTGTAAATATGCCTTAATTTTGGTCAACAGTGATTTGAACTTTTAAAAAACAGAACCCTCAGACCTCCTTATAAATCACAATTCTTCAAGCCAACTATAGGGCTTAGTGTTTAACAGCCAAGACAGTCCAGGTACTCTTGAAGAAAAGGCTATTTTGTAGAAAATGATCCAGTTTTTAGCGACGCGATTTGGCCTCCCTCCATGCCAAAACCAGCTCACAACATCAAAAAGCCACATTAAAGGGGGGTGGGGAGGTGGGGACGGTGTTTAGCAGAGCACAGCTCAAGCAGTTTTCATCTCCCAGGCCAGGTACAAAAATAATCACAACTCACGATACCTTAGGAAGACCGGCAATCTTACACAAATTAATGGTGTGTCACGCACAGATGGGAGGTGGATATACACTGCAGGGAGGCAAGAAACCACATCAAGGAGGCCTCAGGAAACATAGAGCCTTTGCGAGCGCCCAGAGTCTCGCCTTCTGCCTTGTTCCTTTAATTGTGAGGCTGCAAGAAGTGTATTTCTGCCACATGCGATTCAAAGAACAAAGAAAGGGTGATTTTCTTAAGTACTAACAGACTTACTTCTCTTTCAGAAAATCCACTACGCTTTTGAAATCGGCCACGCAGTATTCTCTCTTCATGGCCATGAGCACGCTGTCGGAGGCCGACTGGACCGGGATGTGCAGGAAAGCATAGACTCTGGGGTGATTGAGGATTTTTGCCATCTCCTTAAAGACAGGAAAGGAGAAACCATTAGTCACTTCACAATCGGGGAATGGTTTCCCTCCAATCCACGCTCACAGAGGCACGCAGACAAACACAGCTCAGAACAGAGTCATCCTCAAGACTCTGCAAGTGCGCATCAGCCGGCGATACCTGGGATGACATGGGGCAACGGAAGGTCACTTCCAGAAGATTCCACGGAGGAACTGTTTCCTCGTGCTGTGTCTTTCTCAGGTGACAAAGTGCATAGGAAGTCACACAACGCCTCTAGAGTGACAAGACTCTTAAGGACGTGAAAATAAACACCGCTTCTCCTTCGCCTCGATGACGTTTTACATCCCCTGCTTTGTCAAGGCAGTAGGAGGCACTGCAGGTATCTCAGCAGCTGGTGCCCACAATCCCGTGTACCTGAGCAGAGAGAGGCTCCAGATTTAGGTGGAGTCAGCACATTCTTTTAAGGAACAGGGACCTGCAACACATCTGCTGCTTGTTTCTTATTGCAGTTAGTCAAAGAACGCTTTTTTGTTTGTTCATTTTGTTTTTGTTAGTATCTACTATGCAAAAGGCACACGGCCAGACAATGAGGCCAGCTAGCTGACCAGTGGGCTCCAACGTTCACAATGCAGACTTTGAAAGGCAAGGAGAGAAGAGCGAGAGGAACCTATCCCATAAAGTGAAAAAAGAGCAAATCTGAGGGAAACAAATGAGGAAATTCAGAGTATTTTATAATTCTTCTGAAGATACAAAGCAGTTACAAAAGGGGGGTTAGGCAGAAGTGATGCTGTGCTCTACCTTAGCCATTGATGTAAGCAAAAAGAAAATGGATTGCTCCAGCCTTCCTCTGCTGCCAGAACATCAGTTCGAGGCGGGTGGGGGCTGGAAAGTGTGTGGCATGGATTCCAAAAGTGTTAAAAAGTGTTAAAAAAAAAAAAAAAAAAAAGGGTGCTTTTTGAATAACTTGCATGTGTCTTGTGATCTTCCACTTTCAGAGAACCATACTTTCAGGTCTGTGATCTTGTTTCATCTTAGAACAGGATTTTGAAGGCTCCCCAAGAGCTGAGAATCAGCTGGATCCCCGGGGTAACCTCTTGGTAATTCAAGGGCCCGTCCTACGTATGGCTCAACTATACCCTTCGCTTCTCCACTTTCTTTCTACTGTGCACATTAGCATTTTGACCAAAGCGGAACACAGATCATTTAAGTCATTTAGTTTTTTCCTTTTTTTTTTTTTTTTTTAAATTTATTGTATTTATTTGAAAGGCAGAGTGACAGAGAGAGGGAGAGACAGAGAAACATATCTTCCATGTGCTGGTTCATTCCCCAAATGGCTGCAACAGCTGGTGCTGGGCCAGGCTGAAGACAGGATTCTAGAACTCCATCCTGGTCTCCCACGTGGGTGGCAGGGGCCCAAGTACTTGGGTCATCTTCTGCTGTGTTCCCAAGTGCTTGAGCAGGGAGCTGGGTTGGGAAACGGAGCAGCCGGGACATGAACCAGTGTTCCAACATGGGATGCTGGCATCTCAAGCAGCAGTTTAACCTCCTATGGCACATTGGCTGGTTAAAAAAATTCCTTTTTACTAGGAAATTCAGATTGCCAAAGAAACTTATTGATATCCTTTATCTACATCTTCTCTATTAGGAAATTATACTTGCCATAGATAAGACTACTAAATTCATACCGGAGTTGAAGAAGTTAGTAGGAAAACAACTGCTTACACCTTGGCAAAAATGTTAAAATTTTGGAGCCAGTGCTATGGCGTAGTGGGTAAAACCACAACCTGCAACGCTGACATCCCATATGGACGCCTGTTCAAGTCCCCACTATTCTATTTCTAATCTAGCTCTCTGCTATGGACTGGGAAAGCAACAGAACATGGCCCAAGTCCTTGGGCCCCTGCACCCACATGGGAGACCCTGAAGAAGCTCCTGGCTCCTGGCTTCAGATTGGCCCAGCTCTGGCTGTTGCGGACATTTGGGAAGTGAACCAGTAGACAGAAGACCTCTCTCTCTCTCTCTCTCTCTCTCTCTCTCTCTCTATGCCTCTGCCTCTGTCACTGTCACTGTCACCCCTCCTTTCAAATCAATAAATAAATCTTTCAAAACAATGTTAAACTTCTGGGTTGGGCATGGAGCCACAGGCTCCTCATACCCTTCCTCAACACTACGTATGCAGGAGGCTTTATGAGGCAGATCAGCACTCGTCTACGTGCCCCACAGTAAAACACCGGCCTTCTGCCTTGACGCCCTGCTTCTCAGCTTTTCACCCCCGAACATCAAGATCCACAAAAAGTTTCAGAAAAATAATTACTCAGCTTTAGATGGCTCATAATATATTCACTCTCTCTCTTTTTTTTAATTAATTTATTTTTTTAATATTTTTTTAAATATTTTATTTATCTGTAAGGCAGAGTTACAGAGAGAGGTTGATCTTCCAGCTGCTGGTTCACTCCCCAAATGGCCACAATGGCCAGGCCAAAGCCAGGAGCCTGGAGCTTCTTCCAGGTCTCCCACGTGGAGTGGGTGCAGAGGCCCAAGCCCTTGGGTCATCTTCCACTGCTTTACCAGGCAAATTAGCAGAGAGCTGGATCTGAAGTGGAAAAGCCAAGTCTTGAGCTGGTGCCATATGGGACCTGGCACTGTAGGCTATTAACTCCCTATACCACAACACTGATCCCAAGAAATGGTATCTTAACACACAGAATGACATGTGAAAAGACTCTCTGTTTTAAGACTCTGTGCCTTAATTTTCTCATCTGTAAAATGGAGATAGTGATAGCTCCACCCCTTACTGTGAAAATGTATTGAGATAACTTGATGTGTGCTTATATAGCAAAATTATCTAACATTCTTCTTCTTCCTTGGAAAGTAGTTAAGGCTCCTGGTAAAACAATTTCATACACATTCATGAAATTCAACCAGCAGAATTATTCCTAACAAGCAAGCAAGGAGGTTTAACTTCTGCTGATTTGTAGAACCTAGTTGTGAAAGGAGTTCACCAGTACCCAGGCCCTTGGGCCGGAAAGGGCAGTGCAGTTTCTCTTGGAAGCGCTCTGGGTGGCCTTCGTCTTTTTCCACACTAAGTGAAACTTTGCCCTGTTACAGGATGACAATTTACAAATTAAAATGTTAATGGTAAATAATTAGGATAAATGTGGCGGGTTTTTCCCCCCTTTGGTTCTCAAAATAACTTCCCACTACTAATTACTTTCAGCTTCATACTATGGACTTGGGAACTTTCAACATGGTAGGCACTAGAACACAAAATAAAACTTGCTTCTGGAAGTTTGTTTCTGCCAATGGGGGGAGAAAAAAAGACCTGTGACTTAACACAGATTGATGCACCCCAAAGTCACGAGATGTGTATTTTTTTTACTTCTGTTTTTTCTTTTATCCCTATTTTCACATTGAACTCAGGCACTCAGATATGGATTGTGGTGTCCCAAGAAGTATATTGACTACTGTCATCAAAGGCCCACTCTTAACATTTTGTTTTTAACTGATAAATAATTGTACATATTTATGGGGCATCGTGTGAGTTCCTGACATATATTACATGCATTATATACAATTACTACATGTATTATATAGAAATATATAGTGCAACAATCTAATCAAGGCTAAATATATTTACTTTTGATAGTAAAATATCAAATTAGGACTAGTTCAGTTTGCTTAAAGTAGGCAAACATCTATTTAGGATGGCAAACAAGCATATAATCAGCCTGCCTTCATTTTTGGAATAAGTAAAAACTTAAACATGAATATGTCAGTAAATACATACGCAGGTGAAAATCCAGAGACTTTAAAACTAGGCCCATCATGAGTTAAATTTCTAAAAAGCTCTGCTGGAGCTCTGGATTGGAATCATGATTATATTTTCTCGTGGATCTAATTTATAAAAGATGTTTAAAGCTTAGGGTCACCGAAGGCAAAAAAGGAGCACTTAGTTCAAAAGGAAGCAAAGGAAAAAAATGGCGGCCATGAGCAAAGGGTGCCTGGAGCTGGGTGAGAGCCAGAGCAGACGGGCAGGGTATGGGTGTCAGGGCCTGTGTGGGCGCTCTCAGGAGTTCCGGAGGTACCTCGCGTGCACGTGGGATCTGTTCCAATAAAAGGCCATTTGTCACCAAAGGACTGGTGTGGCACCGTGTGACTATTTCATATGCAGGGACCCGAGAACAGCTGAGCAGATTAACAAGAGGCTGGCTTTCTACTTGATGCTGACTTACAAGGGGCTCTCTTCTCACCAACTGAAAATCAGACCTATGTTTCTAATTTTCTTTCCCAAAAACTCAAACAGGAAGGTAAGCCCAGAATGAACTGAATGAAATCAGGCTTAATTTTTAAAAAGCAATGCTATGTACGGGTACAATTTTGAAAGAAGTTCCATTTTTATTGACCTGCAGGTGCCAAGCTAATCACCTGGTTCACTACCAGCTTCATGAAACCGCTGTGTGAGCACGTGCACTGTGTTAACACCTGCCCCTGTATTCACACTGATACTTATCAATCAGCCCTCTCAGATTAGAGCTTTGTTATGAAGTAGTATGCATGTTTAAAATGCTAAACTATATGGTGCTATGTTGCTTTCAGCTAATCTAACTTATAATGCACAAAAAAAGCATAAAAAAGAAAAAAGAGAAATTATAGTACTCCCTTTCAACATTTAAAAAATAGCTTGATACCACCAAGCTGACTTACTCAAAGCATGCAATTAAATTTTCTTAGTATATTCACAGGGTTGTACAGCCACCTCTATGATCTGATTTCAGAATAATTTCACCATTCTTAATACAAACTCTATGCATTAGAAGTCACTTGCCTTCCTCCTCCCATTCCCCACCTTACCCCAGTCCTAAATAATCACCAGTCTACTTTCTATATTTATATTTGGATACACACACACACACACATATTTATCTTTTGGACATTTCATATAAATAGAACCATACAATATGTGCTCTTTTGTGATTGGCTTCTTTCACTTACAGTGTTTTTTTTTTTTTTT